CAAAGCGCTGGCTGGGGACAAACACCTTTCCTTAAAAGGGTTATCGGCTGCAGCATCAGCACCTCTTTGTGCCTGCAGGCAGATGTCCGGACACTAGACTGGCCACAGCCAAACACATCATTAAGCGTGCTGGGAACACCACTACACCTAGAGCAATCTTTTTGCAACAGGCTGGATTGTATTACAGTTAAAAATTAATTCATGTGGAAATAAAATATTGAAGCAATCATGATAAAACTAATAAAGCTTTAATAAAGAAAAGTAGATAATTTGATATGGAGAGCCATCTGAGGTTACAATAGCTTTGATGGATGGGTGGAATGAACTTCAGACTTTGTCTTCCTTGGTTTTGAGCAAAGCGATATAGTAAATTTTTCCAAAATGTTATCCAGAATATCAGTGGGTTCTGCTAATGACACAGTTGGCAAATCAGCATTTTTCATTTTTCATTCGTCTTTCAGGTTTCTTCTGTATAATTTCTCATGCGGAGTTTATCATGCTACCAAAAGCCATAGTTTGATGCTCTTGGTACACTGAGGTAGTGGCTAATCTTCCTCAGATGTGTGGTGGTATTCCTGGCCTCCAATCCCGCCTTTGCATTCATCACACCAGCAGTGAGTTGGTTCATAGGCTGAATGGGCAGAAAAGTATCCCTTTCTTCTGTCCTTCCCCCAAAATAAATAGGCTTTTGCAAATTTGCTTCTTGAAACCAATTCAAAGAGCCAAAGCCAAAGAAGGGGCTGGAATGCAGAGCTAAGGGGATGAAGGGGAGTGGGACTGTTCCCTTGGGAAGTAGCTGCTCAGATTTCCTAGGTGTATTGTCAAATACCACATCCTGAGGGTGTCCTCTCATCTCTGTGACTGGATGTGGATTTAAACACCACTTAGAAGATGAGGTTTGGAAGGTTTACATGGCATTAAACTAATGAGCTATGTGGTCTGCAGTGAAAGCATAAAATTATGGTATATGCTATCCAAGACTAAGCATTTTCTGCTGTCTATGAAGAAGTTTTCAAACAGAGGGTAAGTACCCTTGCTGACCTTCTGGGTTTGTGTAGGGTCTTTTTAGCTATTTGGGTGGCTTTGTGCTTCAACCTCCCACCGTGGCATTGTAATCTCTAGAGCGAATAACTGAAACACCTCACTTCCCAGCTTTCTGGGGTTTGAGGCAGAATTAAAAGATTTGCATCTGAGAATGTGTCAAGTGATTTGAGAGGCAATATGTTGAGGACTCCCCCCCACCCCAAGACAGGTCTTCATTTCTGCCCTTATAGCACTTGACCTACCTATACCATTATAAACTACTAATGAAAAATAGGGGGATGTGTGACTTCACACTGTAATAGACAAGGAGTTTTGGAATGTTGCAAATGAAAGAAGTGTGGTTTCAGGAATACTTCTATCCACCTGAGACTACTCAGGTGTATTTCTGTCCATTGTGTTCAACGTGGCATTTTTCTTGGGCCAACACAGACATACCTGGGATGGTTGGTCATACTCATTGGTTAGGTGTGTCCTGGATGACTTGTTCAAACACCATTTTGTAAGATGTCCACTTCCAGGTGAATTCTTGGGAGCCGTTTTTATGATTGGGTTTGCTTGTAATTGCGTATTTTTAAAAATCAGAAAGATTTCCATCTCTAAGAACTACATCATTTGTCACTTGGCACAGTTCTATTGCCTCCAGCCTTTTGAGAAGCTTTTCTTTACATCCTGTTTGTTTGTTTTAGAGATGTCCAATGCTATTATATTTAACGTAAATTTTGAAAATAAGAACAGTTGTATTTAATATTTTAGATGACTGCTAAAATGTAACAAATGGTTAACATTACAGTGAAAAATAGCTAAATTATTCTCTTTTTATAGTCTCTCTAATTTCTGGAAGTTTTAATCTGAGAGTGATATCTGCTGTGTGTCAACCAAATGCCATGTGTATATGTTGGAAAGTTTGGACCCAGCCAGGTCCAGTTGTCTCTAAGAGTCAGAGTCCATTTTTATTGAAGAGTATTAAGATATTCTTGTTTGTTTGATCAATTCAGTACCATTTGGGGGTTTTCTCAAAAGATGCTGATGCATTTTGTCGGTAGCAGAGGAAAAGATTTTTGAAATATTGCAATTGTTAGAGCAGTATCAGGAAGGTGTTCTCTTCCTAGCCATCTCACACATCAATAGTTATTATTAAAGGAACAGCAAATATTATGGTCGTATTTTCTGGAGAAACAGTGAGAGCACCATTTCCAGTGCATATTAAGTTAGTGAAGACCTGTTCAACTGATGTCTTCCACTTCTTTATTTTGCAAGTGTGTATAGATTCTGTTAATGTTTTATCACCCAAAACCCAGTAGCATCTCTAATGTCATGACATTTTTAGATTTAGCAGGCAGTAGTCCACAAATTTCTTAATTGTTTGTGGGAAATAAATGTAAAAGGTCTTTCTCATTACCTTTCGTCAAATGCCTCTCTGGTTGGCTTCGGCAAGTGAAATGTATAATACAGGGCTATAAATGTAGGACTATAAATACATACTCCTAGAAAGTTCTGAGCCTGAGAACATCAAGCAGCAGGAGCCTTTTTATGTGGCTTCATACAGTGCATTTAGTTCATTTACTCCTTAAATGGTTTGGCTTACGTATATGTGTGCTCCTATAGTGCTGTCTCTCTGCCTGGTTTCCTGGCAAATCTAGTTTTGCAGCCTGGGTGAACAGACCCTGAAAACTCAGTTACATCTGGAATCAAAACAGGAAATGGGGGGAAGCTAAGAATTAGTTGGTTTTGCAGTGTTTAGCTATATGTAGTATTTGGTATTGCCTTTGGCAGATATTCTTATTTGAAAGCTCACTGAGTCAATATTAAGTAAAGATTTTAAGGAATCTGAAAATACCAAATTGTTTCTCACTCTGTCTCTTAGCTTCCTGGCAAATGTTTCAGTAAATTCTATCACATTTACATTCTGTAGAAACCTTTTACCCCTCAAAACTTTTACAGTTGATGTCCACTGGAGAAAGATATTTTTAGCAGCTGTTCGTGAAAACTAGGCTTTTAACCAGACTGAATTCCCTAGTAGTCATCAATAAATACAGAATTGTTTGCAGTGGAGTACTGTAGCTGGTTTTTGAAGATAGATTTGGTATAGTATTGCTCAGACTTCTTAAAAAATGATCTCAGATGGCTTTTACATTGCATATGTAGCATTGCCAAATAATATGACTCTATCATGAACTTTGGTGAGAACATGTTTTTCCCCCTTTTCATGTCACAAAGGATCAATCCTGCGTGATGCAAAGTGCCCTGACAGGGTGTAGCAAGGTGCTTATGCATATGAATGGGCTGGAAGTGGGTATGTGAGCCAGGCAGACACACTGACCTTGGTGTTAGTCTTAAGCAGGGGCTCGAAGCTGAAGTGGGATCAGAACGCTCAGCAGACCTTAGGCATAAGTGTTGGCCAGTAGCACAGGTAGAGGAAAGGTAGCATTGCCCTCAGAAAATGGTAACTTTTTCTCCTTCTTTTACTTCCAGGTCCTACTTAGACATGTATAAGGTGATAATATTTAGTTACCTCTTCTGGTTTGTGCTTACTATAATCTTCATAACGGGAACCACAAGGATCAGCATATTCTGCATGGGCTACTTGGTAGCCTGCTTTTATTTCCTTCTCTTTGGTGGAGATCTGTTGCTGAAGCCCATCAGGAGCATTCTGCGCTACTGGGACTGGCTGATTGCCTACAACGTCTTTGTGATCACAATGAAGAACATCCTCTCGGTAAGTAGCTGCTGCCTTTCCTCTGCCCTGGGCACTTTCATGGTTTCATTGGAAGTGTGCACAGTGCGTTGCATGGTCATTAAAAATCCTTTTTCAGGACCACAGCCTTCTGCAAGCACAAAGTGGGCTCCGTTTTAATTCAGAAACTGCAAGTGCATATCAAGGGAATGGTAATGCATATACATTATAGGAAAATGTGCACCTTCATATTCACTCGGGCTCTGTGAAAGTTCACAAACTATTTTCAAAGGGCCAGGTTCTGGTTTCTTTGCTTAGTAAAGTCTCTCCTTAGAAGTCTTGTGAAAATCTCAGTGGAGTGAGAAATGAGCAAGAAGTGCAAGTTTAGTCATACCATCAATAAATAGTGCACATTTAATTAAACCTTTTATTTAAAACTAGAATTTTCAAGCCTAGTACTAGATGCAGTTGTCATGTGATGTAATGTAATTAGTGAAGTTAATTACAAACTACGTTCCCATTTTCTTTAGAACTAGTGTGAAATTCAGGTGAAAACTGATATATTTGATAAATAAATGTCAAATTCTTCTGCAAAATGTTAAAGGTTTTCTTACATTAATTAACTCTTTAGAATGGATTCTTGCAGTGGCACTGATAGGTGATTGAGACAAGCCGGTAATTTAAATCTTTTTGAAAGATAAATTTAGATTTATTCCTGGCAATTGCTTTTTAGCTTTGAACATTTTTAGTGCTGGACTGAAAAGAGCAGACATTTTTCTTTTTACATTTATATAAGTCACTGTACTGAAATAAAATTGATTTATGGGTGGTTTGAATTTGCAAATGTCCTAAATGCTTACATATGTGCTTCATTTTGTGCTTGGGAATTCAGTGGAGCTACGCGTGTGTTAAGCTTGTCCATGTATGTTTGCATATATGTTTGTATATTTGTATGTGTCGCATTGCATCATGTGCCAGACGCATCACTTTCTCTGCAAAAACACAAACAAACCCCACGTATCTCCTATCTCACTGATAATCAAAAGAACAAATTCTTGCTATTTAAAAGTGATGCGTGTCACTGGTAAACACACTTTTTCTTCTAATCTCTGTTTTACTAATGAGATATGATACAGCCAATGGCAGTCACAATATTCTCATGGAATATGAAGAGGTGCAATACTTTTTTTTATCTTTATTTCTGCTATGTTTTGTTATATGAAACTGTTCCTTTACTTTCCAGATAGGAGCATGTGGCTACATTGAATCATTGATTAAGAATAGTTGCTGGTTGATTCAGGCATTTAGCCTGGCTTGTACAGTTAAAGGCTACCGTATTCGTAAGTATAGCTCATTTTTCTTCGTAATTTTCTACAAATAAAGAATCACTTTCAAAATCTTCTACCATATTTAAGTTTTGCCCCCTCCTGACATATTACCTTGTGAAAATATCATACCTGCAAGTTCAGCTGATACAGCTTGGTCCTATGTGGACTAGCAAGAAAGAATATTGAAAATATTTCATAGAACCAAAGGAGATACATATACTGAGAGAACTATCAACACCCCCACACACATGCCCACAACCATCATTTGCTGTAAATGAACAGTTTGGTGATACTGGCGCTTAACACAGTTTCCCTGTATATGCAGGTGATGTGATACTTGAGGGTATGGTTTCACTGTACAACTTGAGCTAAAATGTCAGTTCACCATCACTGCAAGGAGAGGGCACCTTTTCCCAGCTGCAGACTCCCACTCCTCCCTGTGTGCCAGGCCTTAACGTTCAGCTCATTGAAATGGCAAGAGGCTCAGCCAGCATAAAAGTGGTAATTTCTTGCAGGCATAGCAAGTTTAGGCAATTTTTTTTTTTTTTTTACAATTATTCTCATGTTTGTGGTGATAACAGGGAGAGAATGGATGGTGTATGTGGATGGAAGCGAGAGAAGGGAGGAATGAAGTTTGGAGAGCAAGACACTTCACCTCTCAGTGAGCTATTGATTTGGCTACACTGTCCTGATACCCTGGGTTGACGCTTGGAAACACCTGATTTTTTTTCAGTGGTTTTTGCTGAATTTACAGAACTGTTTCATCCTAGTGAGTCTGCAGCAAAGTTCTGAATTCCTGTCTTCGTGTCTGATCCTAATAGATAGATAAGTGGGGAGTAGGGGAAAAGAAAGTATATACAAAGACACAAATACACAAGATAAATGGTGCCCAGTTGTTCTTGTATTATCCAAAACTTTTTGAGCAGCAACAGAAACTTTGACACAGGTTTCTGACTCCCCAGGGGATGGGCACAGCAGGCTTTGAAGATCTTGGAGCTTGACCTTCCAGACCTACTAGACTGGCTTGCTTGATTGTAAAGTCAGCTTCGAGCCAGAGTCTGTCCCTTGAGCCATTCTGCTCCCTTCGATAGGACAGCATAGGCCATTTAGTTTATAGTCTAGCTCCACAAAACCCAGTTTTAATTTTTTAATATCCCCAAGAGAACTGTCTTTTAGAGAAGAAAGAAAGAAAGAGAGAGAGGAAGAAAGAGAGAGAGGAAGAAAGAGAGAAAGAAAGAAAGAGAGAGAGAGAGACAGAAAGAGAGAAAGAGAGCAAGAAAGACAGAAAGACAGAAAGACATAGCCCAAGCTAAAATCTAGAGGTAGGAGGAATGGGATTTCCTCTCTGCCTGTCTCCTCCTACCCCAAAGGAAGCAGTTTTGTGGTTTCAAATATTTTTTCTCTTATGCAATGGAAAGAAACATTGAACTGAGCTGCAGAGAGGAAAAATAAAAATATTAGGTAGTGGCAGTCAAAAAATTATTTTGAGAAAAATAAAACACTTCTTTTTCATGTTGATAGTGTTCTTAATAGAAAAATGAGACAAGAAGTCACTTTGAAATGAAAAAAAGATTGAAACGCCATTTTAGAAAATACTGCAGTCAAATATTTCAAGCTAACAAAAAATACTTTTTTCCCCAGTCTTTGTTTTAAAGTACTTATTACGATAGGGAGAATTTGTTTGCAAATCATTGACTTTTGGTGAATTCTCAGTTTTCATGGGGTATCGCGTTGTTGGAAGCTTTCCGGTTTGCTGTAAAAGAAAATATGGAGTATTTCAAATGGAAATGCATGTCAGTTTTCTTCAGAAAAATATAATCAAAGGACCTAAATTCAAATAATTTTAAAGGCTAAGATTATTTAATTGATTAAATATTATAAAAGAATATTTAATGTATGCTGATGGTGTCTTTTTCCAGCAAGCAACACTCTAGATTGTAAACTGCCCAGTGGAGAAGCAGGAATCATCTGGGACAGTATATGTTTTGCTTTCCTGCTGCTGCAAAGAAGAGTCTTCATGAGTTACTACTTCCTGCATGTGGTTGCAGATATAAAAGCTTCTCAGATCCTAGCATCAAGGTAACATAAAGTTTTAAAAAAATAAATTAAACAGCTCAAGCCTCTCAGGGCTACAGTACTTATTTGTTTATGATAGGTAGTATCAAAAGAGTCTTGGTGTTCAACATTGGTTTAAACAATTCATGCCAAATTCATAACTGCAAAACCAACCCTGACAAAGCACACATGAAGAAACAAATTAATTGAGAATCTGACAGAAATTAAGCTATCTTTCCTACCAAATGCTGGTCCCAAATTTCCACTTGCTGATCTCCTAGCCTTTATTAAAAGCTGTGAAAGTTGATGTGTGTTGCAGCATTCTCTCAACATCAATATGTGAGAGTGAATGCCAGAGTTTCTAAGACTTGGAAAGAAAACACGCTGCTATCAGAGCCTGTTTGAGACAATGGACCTTAGAAATCACAACTCCGAAAATGTCACATGGGGAAAAATACAGGAAAGTTATGACATCTAAGACCATTAGGAAGACACTCAGGAAGTGTCACATCACTGAACACTGACTAGGTGTGGCAAGGAAGTATCACCCTCTTTGGGCCTGTTACTTATACTTTCCCACAAGCACCCGCTCATAGCTATCACTAGCACAACCATTCTTCTGTTTTTTAATAAGAAGGCAGATCAGGAATTAAATTCTGGTTTTAATTTCAGTAAGATTTCAAAGGAATTACTTTTGTCAATATTGGATTAAATGTATCGTGGCATTTTTTTCCCCTGGAAATCATATGGATATTAATTTCTGTCTGTGTTTGAGGGCAAAATTCGGCTTGCATGTCCTGAAAGGAAGTATTTTTTATCTTCCTCTTTTTCCCCCTCCAGGGATTACTTTAAAAAGGGGACACGTTTAGCTGCCCATACTGAACAAAATTCGCCACTGTAAACAGGGCTACCAAATGATCTATACCTTCATCCCATATTGCTTTGCTCTGGAGTGAATTTCACTGCGGATGCCCAAGGTTGCTAGATACTGCCTTTTTGTAGCTTTTTGGTACGCTGTGTTCACAGTGAAAGTAGCACAAAGCAAAATCATGAGTATCAAAATGCCTCCTAAATTGGGAAGTTTGCATCCAGAAGGAAAGAACAGACTCGTGTAAATGGCACTGGGCTGGGTTGAAAGAAACATGTTTGGTTCCTACTTCCAGCTTTGTGTCTTTTGGTAAGTTACTGAACCTACCCAGGCTTGAGCTCTCCAGCAGAAGTTGAGACATACTGGCCTGTGTCAGGAGCTTTTTAAAGATAAATGTATTAATGACTAGGAAGTTCTGAGATATGACAGGAAGGAGGGTAATATAAATATAGTGATACAATTAATTTTTTTAGCTAGCTGCTTGCCTCACTAAAATCCAAGCTTTGAATTTACATGGACAATGGAGGTCAGGTTTGGATTCATACAGCATGGTCTGAGCCTGTCTTCTAGTTAAAGTTAATATTGTGAAATACAAATTCCTCACCTAAATAAGATTAAATTGTGATTCAAACAATAGTGATGAGGTTCCAGTGACATTTTTCAATAGTCCATAAGAATTTAGGAGATCAAGTTGCTAAGGAGAACATGTCCTTCTTTGTTGTACTTTACCATACTGTGGGACAATAATGATTGCCAGTCTCGATTGTATTCCTTTGAAAAAATGTAGTTGTGGTTATCTGCGTATTACATGGAAGAATCATTAATCTCACAGAAAACATGGTTGAAAAATTCATTAGAAGTAGACTTCTGAAACTATAGCTGTTCTTACGGAATTCCTGACAAAAGAAAGGCTTTAAATCTATGCTACTTCTTTGAGAGAGGCTTTGAGGCTCTTTGAGAGTCTTCAAGAGCTGATAAACGAATAATGATGAATGGTCAAGACATGTGATCTGGACATCCAAATCAATGAGTCGATTACATTTCTAATGAAATGCAGTTAGAAGCCATATTCTTTTGGCACACCAGAAACTTGCTCAAGGATTTGTGTCATCAGATTGAAAGGACTTTAATGTTCAGAGGGTAAAAGTGAAGCTGAAGCTATGGTCATCGTGGCCCTGGATAAAGCTGGACTTTGCTCACAAAGTCCAGGGGGCTGAGGCAGAAGGACAAGGTGATTATAACGCTGAAATGACTATAACGATCAAATCCTGGAGGTGTGCAAGAAGTCCTAACTCAGCCTTGAACCCACCCATGTTCTGTATTCTTGAGGGCTAGAAACTGAATTCCTTGAACAGCTGCTAGAGGAACTTAGGCTGAATAGCGATCACGTTTGGCCCCAAATCTTGAAATGATTGACTGTAAACAGATTAGTATTCTGGAGTAATTGATTATTTCTTTCAGGCCTTGGATTAGACTTGTTTTATGCAGATGAGGTTGTGTACAGAGGGAACACAGAGTTCCCTGTGATTAGCTGGTGTAAGGGAAACTTAGAAACATTTAATGTTTCCTCTTTTTTCCTTTCTTCTGCCCCCATTTCTACTGTAGAGGTGCTGAGCTTTTCCAGGCTACAATTGTCAAGGCTGTAAAGGCAAGAATTGAAGAGGAAAAAAAATCAATGGATCAACTGAAAAGACAGTATGTATTTAATGTATATTTATATATATATATACACACATACATATGCATGTATTTCACCGATTGTTGGTGTTTATCTAGCACCTTCTTTTATAGAAATGTTGATTAGGTTTTGAAGTAGGATTTTGCAATTACAAAAATTGCTCTCTGGGCATTCAGGGATCTTAGGTACTCCAATATACGTAGTTGTAGAGCCATCTTTTCCAAAAAGACAACATACTGCAGAATCTAAATTTTCATTTAAACAAAGAATTAC